AACGTCCGAGCTCTCGGAGCCACTGGGGCTGCCACTGTTTACGAGAGCGCCGCGCCATGGTGGCCGTGGGCGAATGGTGGTGGGTGCCCGACGAGGAGCAGTGCTTCGTGCCGGTGAGCGCGAACACCCCCAATTTTTCCACACAAACACACCCTCTATAGGCCCGCGTCACCTCCGTCGCCGGCGCCGACGCGAGCCTCGACGCCGACGGCGCGCCGGTCTCCTGCCCGACGGCGAAGCTCACGACCAAAATCGACAGCCCGGACCTCCTCGACGCCCAGCTCGACGACCTCGTGCAGATGGACCAGGTGAACCATCCCGCCATCATCGACACGCTCCGGCGCCGCTACCGGTCCGACAAGATCTACACGGGCATCGCCGACATCCTCGTGGCCATGAACCCCTTCAAGTGGCTCCCCGTCTACACGCCGGCCCACGTCACGGAGTACGCCAAGGGCGACCAGGAGGCGCCGCCGCACCCCTTCAAGACGACGATGAACGCGTACAACGGCCTCCGCGAGTCGCGGTGCGCGCAGGCCATCCTCATCTCCGGCGAGTCCGGCGCGGGCAAGACGGAGACGACGAAGCAGTGCCTCAAGATGCTCAGCGAGTGCGCCGGCGGCGGGCGGAAGGGCGAGGCGGGCGTCGAGGAGCGCCTGCTCTCGACGAACCCCGTGTTGGAGACGCTCGGCAACGCCAAGACCGTGCGCAACGACAACTCGAGCCGCTTCGGCAAGTTCATGCAGATCCACTTCGATTCCAACTTCCGCATCGCGGGCTGCGACGTCGTCGACTACCTCCTCGAGAAGTCGCGCGTGACGTCGCCGGGCCCGAACGAGCGGTCCGACCCGGGGCGGGACAAAGGGGATGCAACATCGCTTCAACGTGAGTGTTCCGCGCGCGCGCGTTCCGGAAACAGCGCTCACGCTTCGAGAGCGCGCCGAGAGATGAAGGCTCGCCCAAGAATCAGCCGAAACGAGTGGAAAGCGGCCGAGAGAGGAGCCTTTGAAGTTGGGAATTTCGCACCCTTTTCCTGCCCAGGTCCTACCACGTCTTCTACCAATTGTGCAAGATGGCCGCGGGCCGCAAGGGTTTGGTCGACGCGAGCGAGTACCCCTACCTCGCCAAGAGCGGCTGCGTCGCCGTCCACGCCATCGACGACGGCGAGGAGTGGAAGGCGTTCACGGCGGCGCTGGCGCGGTTGGGCTACGTCGCGGGCGAGGTCGACGAGCTGCTCGACGCGTGCTGCGGCGTCCTCCTGGGCAGCCGCATCCACTTCGCCGAGGGCGCCGAGGAGGGGTCCAACGTCGTCGGCGACCTCGACGCCGGCGGCAAGCGGCGCCGCCGCGGGTCCGCGGTCGCGGGCCACGCCATGGACGCGTGCTCCGAGTGCGCGGAGGCCTTCGGCGTGTCCCACGACGCGCTCGCCGAGTGCCTCACGCACCGCACCATCAGCGTCGGCGGCCAGGCTTTGAAGGCCAACCTGAACCCGGCGGACGCCGAGGACTGCCGCGACGCGCTCGCGAAGCACGCGTACGGCGCGCTGTTCCGCGCGACGGTGCAGCGCGTCAACGCGGCGCTCGCGTCCGCGTCGACGAGGAAGGGCGGCGTCGACTACAGCATCGGCGCGCTGGACATCTTCGGCTTCGAGATCTTCGTGCGCAACTCCTTCGAGCAGCTCTGCATCAACTTCTGCAACGAGAAGCTCCAGCAGCACTTCACGAAGCACACGTTCGACCAGGAGGTCGCGGTCTACAAGGCCGAGGGCGTGCCCTTCGCCGAGATCCACTACATCTCCAACGCCGACGTCATCGAGCTCGTCGAGCACCGCGCGCGCGGCATGTTCCGCATGCTCGA